ACATAAAGGGCCTTACACAGCCTGGCCAGGTAAGGGAAAACAGCAGTACAAACTACTTGTTTAGCAGCAGAACAGCAAAAAGGATTGTAGGAGATAAACTCTTTGTGCTTTCACACAGCCCACACAAGCATTAGCTTAGAATATCACTGTAATGTATTTTTCAGTGTCACTTGCTGTTTATTCCACTTAATGATCCTTTTCATTTTCTCTTGTGTGTGCACAGACTTACAATGCTGCTTTAGTAACTGATGATGATGAGAATATGCAGTCCGGTGGCAACAATTATTAGGCTAATAAATAATGTCCTGTATTGAAGCTATAACTGCCTTTCTTATGAATAGATTTAAAGATACTAGTATATTAGTCATGATATAGACAGCTAAACCACCGAAATTCAAACTGTTGTTCAGTAAAGTTCATCCAACACACAAATGGTACGAACAAACTACTATGTAATCAAATGTGTCTAAGCTACATTTAACAGCTGGTCAACTAAAATCCATGGAAACACCAAAGAACCACTGCAGAACACATGGTGAGCATTCAGCAACTCGAATCGTCACACCCTTAGCCTAACACATTTGACATGACTTATTACTATCTACACGTATTATAAACTAACATTATAGTTTTACAGTAAGAAATACTCACAAAATGGAATTAAAAATAAGCGTGGTAAGGAAACACCCTATCACAGTCAGTGCCCTGAAAGCATTACCACTACTGGAGTCACTTGTTTCTGAAGTCGTTTTATCACTTGCCTAAAAGAGCCATTGGCAAGCCACCATCTGGGGTAGCTCTAGCTGCTGGGAATAGAGCTGCAGTTCTGTTACCATTCCAGAGCCAGGGCTGTTAATAATTCAGGAGTACACAGTTGAAATAGAAAGAATTGAACTGGGGATAACCTAGAGATTCTGTTTGTTCCATCTAATAATGGCACAAGGGAACACCCTGATTTGTTGCCCTTTGATGTCTCCACAGAGAGGAAAAAACCCCGTAAAATGTGGCTTTGTCTTATCTCTTATGCAAGTACATAAAATAACGTGCAACTTCCCTAAAAGCTTTAAGGAGGGATATGAGTTTAAAGGAAGAAGAATGACAGTGCTATTGATCACTCCTCCAAAACAGGGGCTCCCAGCTGCCATGGCAGTTCAGCTGGCAGTACGGGATACTCGGTTTAACAGAGCTCAGTTCCCCTCAGCTCACAAAGTGCTGGGGACAAATTAACTCCCTGGCTCGGGGTGGAGCAGCCTGCAGTGCACCACCTGCAAGGGCACAGCACGATTTCCATCTCACAGTGTTTCACTGCTTCCCACAGAGTGATCTGTTGCTTTGTAAAAATATGTTCTCTCGCACGTTGCCAGTCTGTCACAGAAACCCCTTCCCGACTAGAAAAAGCAAGCAGACAGAACCAAGGCAAGAAGAAAACCCACAAATTTTGGTACTTAACCAACTTTTATGCTTATTTTTATTTCAATATTATCTTGACTACTATTGTTGCCTAGTAAAAATCCATTTGTTGATTGATTGTAACAGCTGCCTGCTAATAATCTCTCAGCAAGAGAAGGGTAAGCCTTAGTGTGGTGATGGTTGAACTGGTTTCAGCAACAAGTCTGGAAGAGACAACTAGAAATATCCATCTGCTACTCTGTCCTTGTTGGAAAATAATCCCTTGGATACTGGTGAGTCACAGGGACACAGATAAGCTTGGGGGAGTGAGGGGAAAGCTATACTAACAAAATGTAACAAACAGTGCGCATCCCCTAACGCTTCCAAGTGGCTTCACACCTCGACCTCGTCAAAGCTAGGCAAAAAGGTTTGTGTGTTATCCCCCATTCCTGTTTTTTTTTAAATCAGTATTTTCCAATCCAGAGGAGGATCTCCAGGAGGTAATTCAGATCTGATAAAGAAACAGAGGACACCTGGTGGTGTTTAGTTGTTAGCATAAACAAACAGCAAGCCAGCTCAGATGTGTGTGCAGCTGCACCAGCAACAATTAACGTAATTCATGCTTTAAATAAATAAAATATGAAGCGATGGAGAACCTAAAATAGTCTAATCACAGAAAAATACAGAAATTTAAAACAAACAATATGAGCTGCTGATTCCAGATGCTGCCACTTCTTTATGAAAATTGCTCTTTATTTATAAAGGTTACAGGCAAGAAGTAGCAACTGCATGTTCAGAGGAGGCTGCCACCTCCAACAGGCACATGCTATGGAAAAGTAGGACAGAATCCCCACTACTCAGAAACTAAAGGACACAAAGTTGTCAGTTTTGCTGGAGAAAGATCCACAGAGGCAAAAGCAGAGATCTGAATGAGCTCATCCTGGGGCAGCAGCAGCACCCCAGTGAGGTACTCAGCACCCACTGAACCACAGCATTTCTGGTACCGTGGAGAGGAACCACTGGGACTGACAGACTGTAAGTATTCAGATTTCCATATTAACTTAGTGAAAATGGTTATTTTTTATTGAAGATGGTGTTATTAAGATACCTCTGTGAAGATCCAGTGCTGGAAGATATGATACATGTCTTGGAATTCAGACACTGAGCAGAGTCAGTGAGCCTCCTTCATTCAAAGGAACTGGAGAACACAGAGGCAAAGTAGACACAAAAACCACACTTGCAGACAAGCTTTCTAGTTATGTGGAGGCTATTCAAAGTTCATATTTTATTGCCAAAAAATTATGCTCTCTCATGAGAAACATACTGCAGTAAGTATTAGAATTTACCTGGCTGAAAAAGAATGAATAAAAGATGACTGTGCAACATACAGAATATTGTACTCTTCCTAACACAACTTTAATGCATGGACTCCATCCCAGCCAAGATTCTAAGTGTGAAAATTTTGTTAAAAAAAACCCCGAAACAAGTACTTGTATCTTTTGAACCAGCACTGTCAACAGAAGAAATCTTATCATCTCCCCTGCTTGTACCAGCACAAACGTGTGTGGTAAAGAACACTGGTGACCTGCTTAAAACTAGACTGGTTTAAAAATCTCGACAATCCAAAACAGTTGGTTTTAACCCACATCAATTCCCCAATCTGTTCTGATGTACAGCCACACAAACACCTACACTGATACAAGTGGATAGAAGAAAACTGCTCCCCTCAACAGCAGTGCTAGCTAAAACTGCAAATCCAACTGAAGACCTTCTGGTGTTTGCAGACTTTGTTACCAAAGTCAGCCAAGCAAAAGTTCCACTGAAACAGATTAGAGGCCAAGTTCAAAATCAGTACAACACATAAGATACCTCCACATAAACTTTCAGATCAGTTCTGAATTTTGTCCCAGATCACAAGCTATTAGTCTCAAAAACTAACTGTGCTATTGGAAACAAAACCAATTTAAATCTTAGTAGTAGATGCAAGAAACAAACTTTAAGTTTAGTCGAAAATACGTAAAAGACAGTCAAGGAAGAATAGCAAAGAACAGAGTTGTAGGAAAGTTGGAATATAAGGGTTTTAAATTATATGAACAAAATCCACCTTGGAAGCCCCAAGGAGAGGATTTGAGCTGGCAAGGTTGAGATGGACAATTGTGCAATACTCAAGCAACCTTTTCCCCAGATTTTTTTCTAAGACACAAATACTCAAGCAAAAAGGTTCCAGATATCACACCCTCTCAAGAATTTGCTTTGTTACCTTAATTTTTAATATTAGTCAACAGTATAACTTCACTGAAGGGTTACCAGTCTGTTAATTTTCAAACAAGCTTCCCCTTTTTTACTTGCTCATTAGAATAAGTGCATTCTAGGTCAATACCATCCATACCAATATCTATAAAGACCTTTAGCTTCTATTTTGATTTAATGAAATTAGACTTCTTTATAGTAGCAAAGAAGGTATTTTGAAAGCCATAAACCATAGGAAGATAAAATGTGATCTTTGGGAACTGGATTCAGGGAAGCACAAAATCATGAGAGAACAAGACACGCTTCAGTTTCCTGAGCCACTTTTATGCATTTAGCACTCTCATCGAGTTGAGGCAGGTTTATTATGTAGGACTTGAACATTCAAACTAAGCCAGGCTCAGCACGAGGAGAGCACGAGACAACCCTGAGCACAACCAGGATGGCCTTTGTGTTTGTGTTTGTGTTCCACGGGGTATGTGTGAAGAACTGCAACGCTGGTGATAATTTCTGAGGAAAGCCTTGGAACAGTATAAAACATGAATAAAAAGATAAATAATAATTAAAAAAGGGAAGGAGGAGGAAAAAATAATCAAAGAAGATGCACAAAATTGCGAGGACCTAAAAAAATTAAACTGAAAAAAGGGTGGTGGAAGACTAAATGCGAAACCCACCCGCTGAACATCAACTCGCTGAGGGGAGCCCTGAAGGAGCATTGAGAGGCACCCTGAGGGGACCCCTGAGGAGACCCTGGAGGAAGCCCTGGCCGTGTCCCTGTCGGGAGCCCT